ATTCTTGGAAGGGGGTTTGCACTGAGGGGACCCAACCACTTGCCTTGATGTTTCCTGGGCAAGCAACTTGTTTGTTCTTGTAGTAACAGTCCGCCTGCCTCTATTGTTTTGTATTTTTGCTGTAGGCCTTTCTTTCAAGAAGTATCTGCTGTTCTTCTAGCTGCTCCAGGTTGGTCTGCTCATCCTTTCAAGTGGAAATGTCCCATCTCTGGAGATCTGGATGTGGTTCAGGCTTCTACCTATAGTCTTATGTTTTGCAGAGGCTCTGCAGGAAGCCTCCTTCACTGGGCACGTTGTAGCTCCATTTTAGGTATTCCAATCAGTTAGTAATCTGCTTTTGCAAGGTCACAACTTTGAAAGCCCTATGAAGGGCAAGTCTGCTTTGATACACAGGGGAAAGCCATGAGCTGGGATTGACTTGATGGCAACCAACATTTTAATTTTGTCTTTTTAGCTTTGAGGAACTGCCAAACTGTTTTCCACAGTGGCTGTACCATTTTATTTATTCATTTACTTAAAACATTGTGAATTAGGTGGTTATTAGGAATTTTTATATGTTCTTTTAAAAAATCTATTCTTATTTCAAGTACATGATCAGTATCTTTTTGTCTGTGATACTGGTTCTCAAAACTTGTCTGCACATTGAAATAATCTGGGGAGCATAACAATTATCGATTCCTGGATCCTGTACTTCCAGAGATTGTGATTTAATTAGTTTGGAGTATGGTCTGGGCAAGGGAATTGTTTTAAAAAGGTTTCCACGGATTCTGATGTGCAGCCAAGTTTGAGAAATACTGCATGTACTTTTTTAAAATCTTACCTATTTTGTTTCAATGAGTCCATTTGCTCTGTTGGCTTTAGTCTCTACATTCCTTCAAACATGGGGTGATTTTTTACCACATTTTCATATTTAATGATGAGATATGAATAGACACATATAAAATGAAACAACAGAAAGCTGTTTGGAAGTAGATGGATAGGTAGGTGCATGGACATTTGCTTGAAGAATTCCTGTCGGGATCTGTAGGTCTTTTCTCTTTGGCTAATCTTTTTCCTGGGAGAGGACTCTCCTATTCTGCTTTGGAAGTATAAACTTGGAAGGGGGCTGAGGGCTTAGGGTCTCATTGAACTTTTAAAAATTTATTCCTAATTTAAATATGGCCCCTTCCTTCTGTGCATATACAGACCCACAGCCTCCTTGGTTAAAAGGCTTCTGCTGAAGTCTCCTGGCTGAGGCGGTAGCAGGTTGGGAAGGGTTCTGGAGAACTATACACACCTTCAATCAAACCTCCTGTTTTCAATCCTTCAGACACGTTATGTTCTGCTCTTAGCGACCCTGTATAGGGTCACCAGCCAACTGGTGAGTTTGAACTGATCTTGCAGTTCAAACCAACTTTGCAGTCCAGTGCTTATCCCACAGTGCCACACCAGGACTGTCATTAATTTCTGACATTTTCTATTGCTGATCCTTTCTAGAGTCTGCAGTGTAAAATGACTTGCTTCATATTGGTTTCCCTGGTCCCATTCTTCATAGTCAGATTTCAATCTTCTTAGTCTTCCCATTCTCACCATTAAATCCATTACCACTTGTCCATCTTCCACAATTTTGTTGCTATCTGGCCTGTTACCTCCTTTCCTATTATCTGTCATTGTAGATTTATAGTATTGATTTATAGCACCAGACACAAAGTCACAAAGTCAGTAGTTCAAACCCACCAACTGCTCCTCAGGAGAAAGATGAAGCTTTTTGCTCCCATAAAGATTTGCAGTGTTGGAAATCCTATGCAGGGTTGCCATGAGTTGGAATTGACTCAATGGTAGTGCTTTTTTGGTTTTACACTGTCATTGTATGAGTCCTGGTGGCACAGTGCTTAAGCACTCAACTGTTAATGAACGGTTTGCAGTTTGTACCCATCAGCCGCTGTATGGTAGAAAGATGTGGCAGTCTGCTTCTGTAAAGATTCACAACCTTAGAAACCCCAGAGGCAGTTCTCTTCAGTCCTAGAGGGCTGCTTGGAGTTGGAATCGACTCAACATGTTTGGTTTTTGGCTTATACTGTCATTTTAGTGGAGTTCAAGGAGGGAATGAAGATGTAAATACATGTATTCCATTTTGTGTGTGTGTGTGTGTGTGTGTGAATTATGTGATAGTTTACATGGGAGAATATTAGCTTTACATTCATTCTATTTTACTTCGGTTTCATTGCAATGATTACAATCCCCTCCATGCATCATCAAATAACCAAAGGGTACACCCCTACACACCTGTCCTCTGGCGGTCAGCACACAGCCCCTCTCCCTCCCAGAGTCCAGAGTTCCCAGCCACTCCATCTCTCTACGTCATCCTCTCTGCCTCCATCTCTGGCGTCACTGCTTCTCTGAATAGGGTCCCAAAGTCCACTCTTTTCTCTTGATGGTCCCAGGGACCTCCGCTCCTAGACTGCAAAACCAACCACTCCCCTCCTTTTGTTTCAAAACGTCTACATTTACATTCCCAACACTCACAGCCAGACCTCATAGCAATCATTCACTATTGAACCACAAGAGTCCTATCCCCATCTCCTTTCATCAGCCCCATCCAGACAGGTTGAAAACCACTCAGTGGAGATTCTACCTTCCCCCGAACCCTCTGGGATTGGGTTCCCTCTTGAAAGCTTGTACGCCAGTCACTTCTTGCCTTTGTAGCTCCCCATTTTGGGTATCACATGTATTCCATTTGTAAATGTTGACAGCCAAGAATCAAAGAGAGGATGATCAAGGACACATCAAGCAAAGAAAATAGCCTGCATAAAGGCTCATTTAGAAATGGGAACTCCTAAGTCATAGGTAGTACAGCAAGCATATTAGTTCCGCAGGAGCACAGTTCCCATTGGGGAAGATGGAAAATGAGACTCTCGGGGTGGGGAGAGAGTAGCCATATGGAAAGTCAGAAAGGCCAAGTTGAAAAGTTATTCTTAGGAACATGATTATGCTCTTAAAACTGTAGCACTTAATCATTTCAGAGGACCTCTTTATCCACAAGGAAAACTTAGGAGGCAAATTAGTGCTTTATAACTGTCATAGCTGAATTAGCTACAGCACAGAACTCAACCAATTTTTCCTAGGGCCACTGAGCAAGGGGCCAAAAAAAAGAGTTAACTATGAATTATAGAAGAGGAGCAAGGAGCCCATGTGGAAAGTGGTGTCCAAAGATGACTGCCAAAGAGCTGGGGTGGGAATGCTGGCATTGGGGCAGGTCAGCTCATTAGCCATTAACTTAAGCTTGGTTAAGAGCTTTAGAGCTCAGTCTCAGCTTGAGGCGAGGCAACTAATGGAGCATCTCAGTGTCCATCATACTCTGTCTTCCTTCATTTCCAATGAGTTCAGTGTGAGCATTAATGGTACCCATCTGAGTGAAGCCCAGGGCCTGGTAGGGTGTCAACGTGAAACTTGAGCCCAGGAACATAGATGTTCCTGCTCCTTAAATTCTGACACAATGAGAAAATCCAAGTTGGTTTAAAAGTTTGTAAAAAAAACCACTCTCCTGTGTATTTATTGTGTTAGGCAGACAGTGTTATGTTTTCATGTAATTTCCCTCTCTATCCAATTCATGTTCTACTTCCTCCTCATATGAGAACTTGGTTCCATCATCAGTTGCTCACGCTTTTCCCCCTTCCCTCCCCCACACTCACTCCATCACCAACTTTGGTAGGTTCTACTTCTGCTGGTTGTTTTCAGCTGTTGTCTCTCAATCCCACACCCTCCTTTTTACACTCAGCTTTGTACAGCTGAAGCTGGGAGCCTAAAAACTGTATTTTCCAGATTTCCTTGCCGGCTGTTAAGTTCTGCCAGTGGGAGGTACTGGCAGGTGAGCAGGTGGGGGAGGAAGGCAGTGGCAGCAGCGGCTGTCTTAGAGGAAGGGTCTGCAGCCTCCAGCAGAGCTGCAGCCATTCAAGGCCTGGCTCCAACAGCAGTTCTTCTTCCTCCAGCACCAGCAATGTACACGGCCTCCACTCTCCTCTTCGTTTCTTCAGTCCTTTAACACTTTTGCAACCAATTTCCTGTATTAAGCACTCTCTGTTAAATCTCCATAATGTTTCCCAAATCTGTCTGCTGCCACTCCTACCACCCTACCCCAAGCCACAATTATCTCTCACTGGGATGACTGTACAGACTAGGCTCCTGAGATCATTCCAGAGAGGTCTGGAGCTCGACAGGGGTGGGGTGGCGGTGGGGGGTGGGAAGCCAGGCAGCATGCACTGATGAGAGAGCTGTAGAAAAATTACACTCTGGGAGAACAATGATTCCTGCTCTACTACCAACCTTGGGAGATCTGGGTTTGGTTTTATATTATGAAGCTGCTTTACTTATTAAATGATTGTTTGTTTAATGTCCATTACAAGGCCTTGTTCCTTATCTCTGCCTTAGGCTCAGTCAGCCTTTTTCTGTTTCATATTACAGAAGAGCAGGATAACCTGAAAACATTTTATTTATAAAATCTTTGCTAATTAACGTTAGGAAATAAGGTTATTCCATCTCCATCACCTCAAAAAAAGCATCTTTCAAGCTTTCCTCAGCTCTTTACAATCCTTGAAATTCCAATTCTTTTAAGTCAAATCCCCACAGTGGTACAGAAGTGTCACTCCCAAAGGAAGGAAACTAGAGACAGGCAGAAGCCATTGAACTAATGTCTGCAGTGCTCTCTGGGAGAGAGGGGAGCAGGAAGTGCACTGTCCTTGTTTCAAGCTGAGACTCAGGTAAGGAAGCCAGACAGGCTCATAATGGTCTTCTCAGCTGGGATCCAGGCTCCAGCTCAGTCTCAGACAGACATGGAGGATGGTTCAGCTGAAGGTTAATGTCTCTGCATCTCCAGCTTGGGAGGTAGAGTTGGATGGAGGAGTGAATGCTTTCTTGCCTTCAGCTAGGGCTTTAAAATGCTGTAAGGAAAGAGGATAAGGAACACTGAGTATCTGGAATATGCTAGTTACTACATTTTAGCAAGAACCAATCTCTTCACAAGGAGCCCTGGTGGCACTGTGGGTTAAGTGCTGGGCTGCTAACAGAAAGGTCAATAGTTCAAACCTGCCTGCCGCTCTGCAGGAGAGAAAGATGGGGCTGTTTGCTCTGGTACAGATTTACAGTCTCAGAACTCTACATAGGATGAGTATGAGTTGGGGTCACACTCAACATGATGACAGTGGGTTTGACTGGTAACCTCTCCACAACCCTTTAAACACCAATTTCCTTCCAAAATAATTTCTTGATGCTGTCTTTGAAAAATAGCATGAAACTAATCCCACCTCCTATAAAAATAACCCCCTTTTTTTTACTTCATTTCTGCTGCCGTTCACTAGGTCGCTTGGTTTTCCTCCAAGGATGATTGTACCCTGTGTGTCCTTCTGTCTCCTCATCTAAGGCTCACAGCTCATAGTGGGGAGAATTACTCTCTCCTTACTGTGACAGCTCTGTCCCGCCTCCTTTGCTGCTTTCTTAATTAACAGAAGAGCAATAGTAACCACAGACACACCTCTTCCAATGCCACAGGCCTCCATGACAGTAGGCGCAGAATAGCGCTCCTAACTACAGCGTAGGCCAATCCCTGATGCTAGTCTTACCTGTGAATTCTTGAATTCAGAGTAGAGGGAAAAGAGCAAGTGGAGGGACTGAATCCGACTCTTGTAAATAGGGATGTCTAGGATGGCTGAAATGAAAAAGAACTTTATAAACAGGACCAAACTAAAATAAGGAAATGATGGTGAGCCAATCCTTTCTCTGAAAAGAAAAACTAATTTGTGTTCACCAATTTCATTCTATCATCCCAAATGGGATGAGTTCCTATGCCATAACCCTCAACACCACCCGTAAATGCTGCCAGAGAGCACTACTGCCTTATGATAGTACTGCTGTAACTCAAGATGGAATCTTCTCAGAGTCACAAGCCTATTCAAAAGCTTGAAATGTGCTGATCCAGAGACAGGGCAGGGGGACGGAGACACTCACCACAAACCATGTCAATGTATTCCGCCAAGCTGCAGTCAATCTCTGCGGTGGGCAGACTCACCTGCAGGGAACATGGGACAGACACATCAGAAGGCTGATGTTTCACTGGTTCCCACCACCACTCTTCTCTCGGAAGAAGAAAACACTCCTGGCACAGGGTGTGCTGTCTTTGTGTTTTCCTAATCACTAAGATGAATTTCTGGTGTGGCGCTGTGGATCAGCACTAGACTGCAAACCACAAGGTCGACGGTTCAAACCCACTAGCTGCCCCTCGGAAACCCTGTACAGGGTTGCTATGAGTCAGAACCGACTCAACAGCACTTAACAAGATGGAGTTGGCATCTTCATTAACCACTAAAGCAGCAGATGCTCTAGCAGGACCAAAATACTGCGTAAGTAAAACAGACTGCCAGGTTATCTTCCTGTGTGGATTTGTGAAAAGGAACATGGTTCCAGGCTACAATGCAGTATTTATAGTTACTTGTTACAATGCTTAGTGGTACCAGGACATCGCAGGAACAGACAAAACGGACATATCTTTCAGGTGACAGGCGCCAGACCTGAACAAGTCAGACTGGAAATTTAAAAATCAGCAACTTCTTAAAAATTTTCACCTGCTTTTTGCAAAATACAAGAGTACACATATAGCTCTGTAATTTGCTTTCTTTATTTAACAACATGCCATTGACATTTCTCCATGTCAGAGCACATTTCATTCTTCCAGAGGCCAAAAACATTCCAATATATAGTATTTCACTGAGTGGATGGATTACAATCTCTTTATTCATCCCCTAATCAGATATGTGTCCCCAGTGATAACTTTAAAATGCTGTGAGGAAAAGACTATCTTCAATTCCTTTTGTTTTAACAATCAGTTCCTCAATAAACATGTAAAAAAAGAAAATCCCTATCTTTATGGCACTTACATTTTAATTGGGAGAGAAACAAAGACAAAATAAGGAAGTAGTGTACACAGTATGTTAGGAGGTAAGTGCTATGCAGAGTATGAGGAAAAAAGATAGGAAGGAATCATGGGGAGAAGCGTGGTAGAGCAAATCTAAATATGATGCTCAGGAAAAACCTGTTTTCAAATTTTATTCGTCTTTTTTGTTTATTTTTATTGTAAAACTGAACTTTCCTCAGTTTTGTTATTGGTATGCGGGAGCTCTTTCCATGGATATATCTATTATATATCTATAATAGTAAATTTCCTCAGTCTGTCATTCTTTTGGTCTAATGGGTTACCCTGGTGTGGTGCTGTAAGGTAAGCACAGGACTGCAAGGTCGTTTGAACTGCAAGGTCAGCTGTTCAAACACACCAGCTGCTCCTCAGAATCCTGTACGGGGTTGTTATGAATTGGAACTGACTTGACTGCACTTTAACAACAACTCTGGTAGCATAGTGGTTACGAATTGGGCTGCTAACCTCTAGGTCAACAGTTCGAAACTACCAGCTGTTTGGTGGGAGAGAGATGAGGCTTTCTGCTCCTGTATAGATTTACAGCCTTGGAAACCCTGTGCATGGTCACTATGAGTTGGAACCGACTCCATGGTACTTAACAACAACAACAACAACTAACTTCAAGGTCAACAGTTCAAACCTATCAGCCACTCTGCCAGAGAAAAATGAGGCTCTCTGTTCCTATAAAGACTTACAGCTTCAAAAACCCTATCACTGATGATTTAAAATATTATCTCTTATCCACTAAATTCCTATATTTACAAGAGTTTGTTTCTGACTTATTATGTGCCACTGATCTATTTGTCTCTTGCTATGCTAGCAGTACTTTACTGAATTGTTTATTACAGCTTTATGGTTCTGATATCCATTTTTTTCTTTTCTAAATTTTCATGATTAGTCTTGAAAATATATTCTCTAATATAAACTTTGTTATCAATTTGTCAAATTCAAAAAGTTAAAATTCTCACTGAAATAGCATTATACTCAGTAAATTGGAAAGGACTGACAGTTAAAAAATTGAATCCTGTTATTCGGGAGCATGGTTTGGCTCTAATTTCATTCAAATAGTGTTTTATGACTTTTATTAAAGTTTTGTAACTTGTTTTCAAAATGGTTTTATCAACTTCTTATTCAATTTATTCTTGGATTTTAAAAAATGTGGGGTAATTATGAATGGGATATCAGCTTCTTAAAATTCCATAAATATCTCCTGTGGACAAGGTAGAGACTGATGACACAGGAGGTATATACGTTCATCAAAAGACATTGGTTACAGGGTCTTAAAAACTTGAGAACAGTCATCTAAGATACCTCTATTGGTCTCTATTCATCTGGAGCTAAAGAGAACATAGAAAATCCAAGAATCAAGAGTACTATCCAGACTACAGGACTAACTGTGTACATGAACCAATCTCCCCTACCCTGAGATCACAAGATCTAGATAGTCCCTTGCTACCACTACCAGGCATTCTGATCAGGATAATAAATGTGGAAAATTTTGTGAAACAGAACTTCAAATTCTCAAAGACTCCAGACCAATGGATCTACTGAGACTGGAGGAATCCCTAAGACTATTGTCCTGAGATCCTTTTTAAACTACAAACCAAACTAGCCCCTCAAGTCACCTTTTAACTTAATAGCAGGTTAGCTCAAAAAGTAAACAATGTCACCCTTGAGAACTGCACTATTAAAATATTATCTACATGAGACCGAATGGACAGCAGTTACTGTAAAACATAGCTGAGAAGTCTGGGGGGAAGTGATATTAAGTTCATGGGAGTGGAACAACTTGAAGAGAAATCATGAGAATGTTGACATGGCATGAAGAATGTAACCAATGTCACTGAACAGTACGTACATTAATGGTTTTACTGTGTATATATTTACAAAAAAAAATTTAATTATTAAAAAAAGGAAAAAGATGTGTTAGAAAGTTCATAGCAGCAATAGTTATAAAAACCAAAACTAGAAACTAACCAAATATCTAAGATAGAATGGGTAAACGGCCATATATTCAAATAATGGAATACCATAAAATAACAAATAACAACCATACAAGACAATATCAAAGAATCTCCCATAATGTTGAGCAAAAGATAAAGAAAATAAGAGTCTATCTTGTGTAATTAGGTTTAGATAAAGTACAAAAACAGGCAAAATTAATACCCAATTAAAAAATGGGCACAGGACATGAACAGATACTTCACCAAGGAGGAGATCCAGGCAGAACAAACATGAAGAAATGCTAACGATCACTAGCCATTAGAGAGATGCAAATCAAAACAACAATGAGATACCATTTCACCCCCAGCAATAACAGCAAAGGATCAAAAAAGTAGAGGACAATAAATTCTGGCAAGGATGCGGAGAGACTGGAATACTCCTACATTGCTGATGTGATTGCAAAAGGTCCATCCAATCTGGAAAGCAATATGGCGCTTCCTCAGAAGGTTAGAAATAGAACAATTCCTCTACTTGGTATTTACCCACAGAAATATGAGCCATAACATGAGTAGAAATGTGCACACCAATGTTCATAGCAGCACTGTTTACAGTAGAAAAAAGATGGAGACAGCCTAAATGCCCATCAACTGAAGAATGGATAAACAAACTGGTACATACACACCATGGAATATTATGCTACCTTGAAGAATAACAAGGAAACTGTAAGCTACCACGTAGCATGAATGAACCTTGAGGGCATTATGTTGAGTGAAATTACTCAGTCACAAAAGGAGGAATACTGTATAGGACCACTACTGTAAAAGACTAAGAAAAAGAACCCATACTAAAAGGGGGGGGGACGGGACGGGATGGAGAATTATTTGCTGGTTGCCAGGTTGAGGGGGGTGGGATGAGGAGAGGGAGGAGAAGGTGGAGCAAGGGTAGGAAATAGACACAGGATAGTTTGGGTGCTGGGGAGGGGGGCAATACATAAGGAAGAGGGGAATGGAAGAACAAGGCAGATGGAAGAACAGTTAAGCAGGTTTGCATGGGCTAAGTGGGACAGAGGTAAATAATGATGTATGCACAACTTTAGAACAACAGGGTTCTGGGATACAGGGATTGAGGCATGGCTGGAATGGGCAAAACGGGGAGATAATGTTAAGATGCTTGACTGTCTTTTGAATCTTGGTTTCCCTTGCATACCATTATAAAATAGACACTTGAAGGGGAGAGAAAGGAATAGCAAGAAATATCACCAAAGAAAGCTTGTAAGTCTGTCTTCTGCCTATAACTGATTGTAGCCCTAAATTGGGGCTACAACTTGCCCAGTGAAGGAGGCTTCCTGCGGAGCCTCTGCATTGCATAAGACCAAGGTGGAATCCTGAACCCCATCCAGAATCTTCTAAGGTGAGAAATTTCCACTTGAAAGGACAAGCAGACCATCCTGGAGCAGCTAGAAAAATGGAAGATACTTCTTGAGAGAAAGACCGACAGGAAAAATACAAAACAATATCGGCAGTCCAACTGACTATTACAAGAACAAGCAAGTTGCCCGCCCAGGAGACATCAAGGCAAGCGGTCAGGTCCCCTTGGGGCAAACCCCCTTCCAAGACTAAGACTCAATGGGAATACACGAGCAGACATGTGCTCTGACTGGTGACCACATTGGTCACTGATAAGGGGAAGTGATGGAAAAACAGCAATGAAGCTGTGAGCGAAGTCCAACCACCCACGTTCAATAGACTCCTGTGAACCCAGGTGGAGACCTGGTCAGCCAGCAGTGTGGCAAGACCTAGGGACTCTTGGGCCCAGAGTCAGTGACATAGCCATAGAGGACTAGAATGGAGAATGAAACATCCAGCTGATAAGAGAGGGCATATGCACAAGAACACCCACATTTGCAGATAATACCCACTTGACTTGGCTTCAGTTGATGGATGATCAGAGTTCAACTAGAAGAAGAAAGAGGAGGGAAAAAAGAGTAATTTGATGAACTTGACCTACACATATGGATGCAGTTGCTCAAAAGAGGTAACAAGTCTTTACAGCAAGAATCATTCCTACCTCCTCAATACACAGGGTAGACTGGGATGGGCAACTTGGACACTGGCTACACAAAATGGGGGAGGCTACAAAGGCAAGAAGTGACTGGCTTACAAGCTTTCAAGAGGGAGCCTAGATCCAGAGGGCCCGCAGAGGAAGGTAGACTCTCCACTGAGTAGTAGCCAATCTGTCTGGGCGGGACTGATGAAAGGAGGTGGGGATAACACTCGTGATACAAGAGTAAATAGTTACTATCAGTACTGACTGTGAGGGTTGGAAATGTAAAGGTAGATATTTAGTAGCAAAAGGAGGGGAGTGGTTGACTTCGCAGTCCTGGAGCGGAGGTCCCTGGGACCATCAAGGGAGAAGAGCAGAGTGTGGGACCCTACCCAGAGAAACAGTGATGCCAGAGATGGAGGCAGAGACTATGACGTGGAGAGATGAAGCGGCTGGGAACTCTAGACCTAGAGAGGGAGAGGGGCTGTGTGCTGATGACCAGGGGGCAGGATTGCAGGGTCTACCATTTAGTTGGTTGATAATGCATGGAGGGGACTATAACCATGGCAATGTAACGATATACAATAGGATGAATATAAAGCTAACGTTCTCCCATGTAAACTATGACATAATTCACATTAAAACAAAACAAGAAAAACCAGTAAAAATTAATCTATGTTATTAGAAATCAGGCTTCTAGTGTGCTAAGCAACGGACTGTTTCTTGACCTGATGTACTGGTTACATAATTATGTTCAACAGGTGAAAACTGGCTGAGGTGTAGATTTAGGATATGGGAACTTTTCTAAATATATATATATATATCAATTTAAAAGATAACATGTTCTTTAAACTGTCACTCAATTCACAATAAAAAGTAAAAAAAAAAGAGATAATAATAATAATGCGCCTTGGTGGCACAAAGGTTAAACACTTGCCCACTAACCAAAAGGTTAACAGTTGGAACACACTGACACATGGCAAGAGAGAAGACCTGGAGATCTGCTCCCATAACAATTTCAGCCCAGAAAACCCTCTGGGGCGGTTCTACTCTGTCCTGCTGGGTTGCTCTGAGTCAAAATCAACTCAACAGCACACAGGAATACCAGTAACAATCACAATAAAGGAAGAGAAAGGACAGCAGACCCCAAAGTGAATGCTGCTACACTTCTTAGTGCTGCTAATTTCCACTCACCTTACTCAAAAGTTCTTCAAACTCTGGAGACCATTCCTGCATCAGTGTGTCAATATCAGGCATAGGCCTAAAAGAACAGAAGTAAACATGGACAGGAAACAGACTGATGATACCAATAACCCCTGCATCAAGATGGTCTAGGATTAAGCAAAGGCTCTCCATCTGGGATACTAAGGTTTCATGAGAACCTAGGTGGGGACAAACCAAACTTACCTAGGGCCTAGAGTTTGAAGGAGCTGGCTCAGAGATGATACTAAATCAATCACCATCTCTAGGTTTGCTATCTTAGTCTGTAACTACTAGGACCCTTTGGACCACAGGTTACTGAAGTATGTCCTGAGCCTTTGGTACTTTTCTCAAGAATTCACAGGTGGTAAAAGGCAGTGTGGGTTACTGTAGAGAGGACTATGTCATTTCTTACCTGGTATAGTGCACAGACGCGGGGGGCTTAGAACGGTGTAACTCAGAGATACTCTCAATCCATGTGTCAATGGCTTTGGGGTTTTTTTCTGCATCTTCCAAGCTCTTTACTTTCATATGTTGCTAGAAAAATAAGGAGAAAGGCTGGCTGACTGCACTGAAATAGCTCTCTCATTTTTTACTTTCAAAGAGTAGCTTATCAAATCTATTACAATTTATATATGAGGTGATGGTGGTGCTGTCTTAAATGTTGAGTCAGTACTGACTCATAGCAACACTGTATAGGGTTTCTGAGGCTGTACATCTTTGTGGTAGCAGAAAATCTCATCTTTCTCCTGAGAAAGGGTTGGTGGACTTGAACCACTGACCTTGTGGTTCAATGTCCAGTGCTTATCCTACAGAGCCACAGTGTTCCCTATAGTGTTGTTGTTGTTAAGTGTCTTTGAGTCAGTTCTGACTCATAGCAACCTTGTCTTAAGGTTTCTGAGGAGCAGCTGGTGGGTGTGAATTACCAACCTGGCTGTTCAAACTGACCTTGCGGTCTAATGCATTATCCTTCAGCACCACACCTGTGCTCCCTATGAAAGTGGTAGTAAAGGAGTCCTGGTGTGGCACTAGACCGCAAGGTCAGCTTGAAATGCAAAGTTGGCAGTTCAAACTCATCAGCCGCCCCTCAAAAACCCTAGACAGGGTCCCTATGAGTTGGAACTGACTCAATGGCATTTAATAACTAACAACAAACTTGAAAAATGAAGCCTAAAAGCAACCAAATAAAAGTTATAAGAAACCTTGATCAAATTTGCTAGAGCCTGGGAAGAGAACAAGTCAACTGTGCTGGATTGACCACAACAAGATACTCCTTTACATCAATTTAGGATGACTACAATGAGAAAGACAATTTAAAAAAAAAAGACAATAACAAGTTCTAGAGAAGATGTGGAGGAATTGGAACTCTTATTTACTGCTGATGGTTTTATAAAATGGTGCAGCCTCTTTGGAAAACACTTTGGTAGTTCCTCAAAAAGTTAAGCAGAGTTACCATATGATTTAGCAATTTCATTCCTACATATATATCTAAAAGAAAAATATAAATGTCCACGCAAACACTTGTATGGGAGTGTTCACACCAACATTATTAACAAAAGTGGAAACAACTGGTGAATGGACGAGTTAAACATCATATATCCATACAGTGGAATACTGTTTAGCCATTAAAAGGAATAGAGTGGTTACCAGGGGTTAGAATGATGAGAAACAGAAAGAGACTACTAATTGGTGGGAGGCTTCTACCTGAGCAATGAAAGTTCTTAAATTCAGTAGTGGAGATGCTGTACAACTCTGTGAATACTCTAGAAACCACTTAATTATACATTTTAAAATAGTGAATTTTATGGTATAAAAGTTATATATCAATAAGCTGTTGTAATTGAGTTGACCCCAACTCATACCAACCCCAATGTGTCAGAGGGGAACTGTGCTCAGTACAGTTCTCAGTGGTTGACTTTTCATAAACAGATCACTATGACTTTCTTCTGAGGTGTCCTTGTGTGAACTTAAACCTCCAACCTTCCAGTTAGCAGCCAAGCATGTTGACTGTTTGCACCAAAAAATAAGACTGGTCTGAAACCATAACCATCCCTTTTGATGAACAATTAAGTCAGCTTTAGAAATGTTAGTCTGGCCCCTGTTCCTGGACCACTCTCTTTGGGACCTGTACAAGGCTAGTACCTTACCGTGACGTTGTGCTGCTTGGAATTCTCTGTTAACCAGAGAGAGAGTACCGTAGGGTCTGACTGCTTTGTAGAGGGCTCATCCAATACCAACAGACCAAGGTTGTCAGGTTTTCCATCAGGACGTGGGACCTGGATAAGGGAAAGGGAAAAAGAGTACAGGGAAAATTGGGAGGGATAGAATAGGGATATGCTTGCTATTCAAACAAGGCAAAGGATTGTTCAGATACATTATTAGTAGTATTAAAAAGCATGAAAGTAAACCATGCTGTACTAACTACTATCTAGAAAAATAAATATGATATATTAGGAGATTAAATAGAACGCTGAAGTCATGGATAATTAAGAGACAAATGTATGACATATGTTTTATATATAATAGGATAATAAATATTATCTAATAGCAACAAGTATAATTTGGGGTAGAAAGCAAGGTTAAGAAAGAAAGGAAAACATACTTGTACATCTAAGTATTTTTGGTTAAAGACTAAGGTGTGTGCTTGACCCACAGCCAGTGCTATTTTCAATCACCTCACATGTATGAGAAAGCTGCACAATGACCACTGCTGCTGCTGCTGCTACGGAGTCAGTTCCAACTCACAGAAACCTCATCTTTCTCCTGAGGAACAGCTGGGGGATTTGAACTGCTGACCTTACGGTTATTAGCCAATGCATAGCCTACTACACTACCAGGACTCCCTTGACAATGAATCAGGAAGAGCAAAAAAGAATTAATGCCTTTGAATTGTCATGTTAAAAAAGAATATTGAAAGTACCACAGACTACCAAATGAACAAATAAATCTATCTTGGAAGTACAGCCAGAACTGCTCCTTAGACGTGAGGATGGCAAGACTTCACAGCTCATGTACTTTGGACCAGTCCCTGGGAAAGGACACCATGCTTGGTAGAGGATCAGAGAAAAAGAGGAAAACCCTCAGTGAGATGGACTGACAGAGTGGCTACAACAATGGCTTCAAACATAGCAATGCTTGTGAGGATGGTGCAGAACCAGGCAGTACACAGGGCTGTTATGAGTTGGCAGTGACTCAATAGCACCTAACAATATTAACAGCCAATTCAAGTCAAGGAAGTTAGTAGAACTGCTAGTGTAACAGAGGGGTCAGAAGAATATGTAAGGAGTCATTTTTTTTCTTTTTAAGGATGTACTTACTGTACCTTTAAAAATGCATCGATATCCCCAACAGCTGGGATAAAATCAGGAATGAAAGGTTTCAGTTTGTGGTCCAGGTCAATCAACTGAGGTGTGTACCTATGAGGTATTGTCAAGGAAAGGTAGAAGCAAACAGAGAAAATTGCTTTATTATTCAAGCTAAAAAACCCTAAAGATCATGGCCTTATTTCAGACTAGAAGGCAGGAAAGGTTTGGGACAAGGTGGGGGTATGATGGAAGGTTCCAATAACTTACCTACTGATATACTGGAAGAGTTCCTTAATCTCAGCAGAAACTGGTAAATGCTCATAATCTGCAGGATCGTAGGCTCTGAGGAAAGGAAAGGAAATACCATTCAAGGTTGCCAGACGAGAATGAGTATCACAAAGTCCTGGTTAAACTCATCTGTTACTCTGACCGCCGGGTACATGACCCTGGACCTAGCTTTTGCCTCCTTCCTGGTCTACCTATTTTAGGGGTTTACAAGCAACTTTAAAATGGATTATAGTTAACTCTCAATTGTATCTGACAATGAAGAACAACAGAACTGCAAAAAATCCAAAACATTAACCTTTCTTCAGCTTTAGAATACAGAATAAATGTTTTCACTTTTTTGTGAATAAAATGGATAAAGAGAGAGGGTGGAATAAGATATTTAAATTCTGACAAAGAATTTGCCCAAAGAAAAAAAAAGGAATTTTTACAAAGATGTTTTTAACAGTATTATTAATAATTGTAAAAAAGTGGAACAAATAAAAAAATATCCAATATTTGGGAGATAGTTACCAAACCAAAAAACCAAACTCATTGTTGATTCCTACTCATAGTGATTCAATAGCACTGAGAACTGCTCCTTAGGGTTTCCGAGACTGTATAGCTTTATGGGAGCAGATTGTTTCATTGTTGTTGTTATGTGCTAATGAATCAGTTATGACTCATAACAACCCTGTATAGGGTTTCTGAGGCTTAAATCTTTACAAGAGCAGAAAGCCTCAACTGTCTCGTGTGAAGTGGCTGGTGGGTTCGAACCACTGACACTGTGGTTCACAGCCCAATGATTATCCTACAGCACCACCAATTACTTGTATATTATTTTGATACATGAAAATGCACATTCTCCTGTTAAAAATGCAGCCTATATAAGATTAATTACAATTAAGTAATATGCAATGAACACTGGCAAAATATTTAAGTGACTTGAAGGACTATTAACAAGGTTCCTTTAGAGGTGTTGCTTTAAAATAATTTATGAATTAAAATGTACACTTCCTACAATATAACTTACAGAAGTAGGATATGATCATGAAGTAAACTGCAAAGCATGGAAAGTCAGTCTGGAAGTTAAATACTTGCCTAATTCATTTCACGCCCATCCTAATACATAGGAATGATTGTTTATTTTTACCAAACTGCTTTATTTAATAAATGATGCATTAACATGATACCATATAAAAGACACAAAAAGTATACACTGAAAAGCTTAGTTCCCCTTCTGCCCTGTGCCCCTGCCACCAAGTTTTCCTCCCTAAAGGTCATCACTATTATTAGTTTCTATGTATGCTGCCAGATCACAGGCATCATCACACACCATAAACACTCTTGTTTACCTTCTAAAAATGTAACACTATTTCTGAGAGACTGTTCTTCATCACTCACTGCCTCAATAGCTGCCTCATACTTTTTATGACTAGACAGAATTCCACTCTTGGCTTGCTGTTATTGAATGCCATTGAGTCAATTCTGACTCATAGGGACCCCGTATAGTTTCCAAGAGGCAGCTGGTGAATTTGAAGCTCTGACCTTGCAGTTAACAGTCCAGTGCTGATCCTAGACATCATTTAGCCAACCCGTAAGTGTTATAAAAGATTTTTACTTAAACTTCATCCAGAAACATTTTGCCTCAATGGGGCCCCTAAATCACTTCTTCTCTGCTTGCCCGAAATGGATCTCAGTCTAAAACAGAAACAAGTATATGCATTGCACACACGCTGTTTTCCTTACTACACATGAATGCTTTGTATATACTTAAGTTTACTTTCTCTTTCACAGAGTGTGAGCTCCTTAAAGGCAAAAAACATCTTTTAAATTTACTTAGCAAAACGTAATGCAATCATTAAGCTCACAGATGTTTTAAATAATGCAATGACACACTAGGACTCAATGAGGCAGATGAATCAGAAAGGAATGAGAACTCTTTATGATGTATTTCTGAGAAAACTGAAAATCCTAAATAGAGAAGATTTTCCTTTTTACTGCCATCCTCTCAGCCCAGTGTTTTGAATGAAACATTTTCTCCCTTGGCTTGGGTGTCCTTGGCAAGGAGTCTTTCCTTACCCTTCCAGAGGGGCTCCATGTTCCTCCTCATCATCATCTTCATCAGAATCAGTTTCAGATGAGTCATCATCGTCGTCGTCATCGTCATTTTCACTAAAGCCCCGCTGAGGTGTCAACTGTGAGGTCTTCTTCTTCTCCTGAGATAGGGCAGGGTAAGTAGGCACAGAAAGGTCATACAAAGACAACTGTTGAGTGTACTCTGCCTACTTCCCTCCAATCGTTCTAACCGATACCCCATCATCTGACACCAAACTACCAGAAAGACAGATGGTACTCTCCAGAGGGGCTTGAGAGCTGCTTCTGCTCATATTCTACTACAAACTGGGCTCCACTTTCTACAATCATAGTCAATTTTTTGCCTTGAGGCTTGGGTATAAAGTCTCTTATTTATATCAATTGTACCTACCACTTAGGAGCTCCAAAGAGTTCTGCATATATTATCCTGTTAGCTTCCACCTTAAAACTTAGGGACTTTTGCCATGAAGAATGGCAACTGTAATTATTTTGGGAGGTAATAGGAGAAGATGAATCAAGAGATACAAACTTTAGAGAGTCTTAATATTCATCAAGAACATAGAGGAGTTAGTATTTAGTTTGCAAGACCACCAGAGTGTAGTACACTACTAGTCTTTCATTAATATTTAGTTCTTCAAACTCTTTATTGTGACTTGAGTGAAGGTTTGCAGACAAGATTACCAGCTTTAGAATCAACAAATCATATACTTTGTTGCATCTCAATGATTACAATCCCCTCCACTCATCAACAGTTGTTCTGCTTCCTCCCTGTGGCTTCTATTTCCATTCTACCCACCTTCCCATCCCTTCTTAACTTTGTCCTTAGGTACATGCTGCCCTTTTGATTTTGAATGAATGACCATTCCATTATTCATAGTGGAGTCCTGGTGTTGCAATGTGGGCTGATGCGTTAGACTGCAAAGTTGTTTGAACTTCAAGGTCGGTGGTTCAAGTTCACCAGCTGCTCCTTGGAAACCCTATGTTTGCTATGGGTCAGATTCAACTCGATGGCACTTCACAACAACAACAATACTTTATTAAAAGTGTTGTTGTTCCCCCCATCTATCTATCTACTCTCTGGCTGAAAGTTGGGCCACGAAGGTGAGTTCCTCTCCAGACATGAAGGGTGGTTGAGAGCCATAGTCTCAGGTTCCTCCAGTCTCCCAACCAGGAAGTCCAGTCTTGTTTTCCTAATAATTTTGAGTTTTGTTCCACATATATTGCTGCTGTATCTGGGACCTTCTAATGTGATCCTTTTCAGAGCAGTTGGTAGTGGTAGCCACCACTTGATTGTACATTTGGTAGTTCTTCTGGCCACCACTTGATTGTACATTTCCTACAATATAACTTATAGAAGTAGGATATGATCATGAAGTAAGTTTCGCAGTCCAAAGAGAGGTTACCCAACATAATATGGAAATCATCAGACAGTATCATTAATATTATATGCAAGTAAAATTTTGCTAAAAATAATTTTAAAATGGCTACAGCAGTTCATTGACAGGGAACTACACAAATATGGATCTCTTCCAGTCAATTGGCCAGGTGGCTGTCTTCCAAATTTCTTAGCAAAATGAGTAAGCACCTCCAGTGCTGCATCAGTTTGTTGAAAGATTTCAATTTGTATCCCATCAATTCCCGGGTCCTTTTACTTTGCCAATTCCTTCAGTGCACTTTGGACTTCCTCCTTCAGTATCATTGGCTCTTGATCATATGCTACCACTTAAAATGACTGAACATTTCTTTTTGGTACAGTGACTCTATGTATCCCTTCCATATTCTTTTGATGCTTTCTGCATTATTCAATATTGCAAGTAGGGTTTGCATTTTTTCTTCAGTCCTTCCAGCTTGAGAAATGTTGAGCGTGTCCTTCCTTTTTGGCTTCCTAACTCCAGGTCTTTGCACATTTTACTATAATATTTGACTTTGTCTTCTTGAGCTGCCCTTTGAAATTTTCTGTTCAGCTTTTTTACCTCCTCATTTCTTCCACTTGATTTAGCATCTCTATGCTGGAGAGCAAGCTTTAGAGTGTCTTCTGACATTCATTTTGATCTTTTCCTTCTTTCTTGTCTTCTTGATGACCTTTTGTTTTTTTTCCTGTGTGATATTCTTGGTGTCATCCCACAACTCTTCAGGTGTTCTGTCGTTGTTGATGTTAGGTGCCGTTGAGTCAGTCCCAACTCATAGCGACCCTGTGCAAAGTAGAATGAAACACTGCCCGATCCTGGGCCAACCTCACTACTGTTGCCACGCTTGAGTCCATCAATGATGCCACTTGGCCAATCCAGCTCATTGGGGGTCTTCTTCTTTTTCTCTGACCCTCCACTTTACCAAACATGATACCCTTCTCCAGCAACTGGTCCCTCCTGACAATATGCTCGAAGTATGAGAGACGAAGTTTGGGCTATCTTGGCCTCCAAGGAGCACTCTGGCTGCACTTCTTCCAAAGTGGATCTATTGGTTCTTTAGGCAGCCCACGGCACTTTCAATATTCTCTTCCAGCACCATAACTCAAATGCATCAATTCTTCTACGGTCTTCCTTATTCACTGTCCAGATTTTACATGCATATGAGGGTCTTGAAAATACCATGGCTTGGGTCAGGTGCACCTTAGTCCTCAAGCTGGCAACTTTGCTCTTCAACACTTTAAAAAAGGTCTTGTGCAACAGATTTGCCTAATGCAATATGTCATTTAGTTTCTTGACTGCTTCTTCTATGAGTGTTGATAGTTGATCCAA